TAGCGCTCTACCACTTGAGCCACAGCACCACTTCCGGTTTTCTGGTGGTTTATTGGAGATAGGAGTCTCACGGTCTCTCCTGCCCGGGCTGGCTTTGAACGGTGATCCTCAGATCTCAGCCTCCTGAGTAGCTAGGATTACAGGCGTGAGCCACCAGCGCCCAGCACTTCTGGCTTTTTCTGCTTATGTGGTGCTGAGGAATCGAACCCAGGACCTCATGCGTGTAGGGCAAGCGCTCTACCACTGAGCCGCCTTCCCAGCCCTTGTGTTTTTTCTTTACCCTATGTAAAGTCTGGTTCCTTGTGTTGCAGAAGTGACCACAGTGACCGTGGCCAACGTCGGGTCCTCTGCAGACAACGTCTTCACAACGTCAGTGGCAAACGCAGCGTCCATCTCAGGGCACGTTCTGGTAAGAAGTTGCCAGGGTGCGGTCCAGGGCTGCTGGTCCTGCCCTTGGCACTGTGGCTGCTTCATACAGCTCCAGGAAGCATTTCTAGTCCTTAAAGACCATTTCAGGGTCTAGTGTGCACGCGTATCTGCACTGTTTAGGTGGGTGGAGGGTGTGTGGGGCCTTCCTCGCTCTCAGGAGCCTTGGGACTGTGCCATACAGGAAAGATCAGAGCAGAGATGAGTTTCCTGTGGCATGCCAGACGGGGTTCTACACAAGGGCTTACGGTTTTGTCCTCACTGTGCTTCACCGTTTGAGGATGATGCAGAGCCAACCTGGCTTCTGGGAGGTTGTAGGGAGACAGGGGAGCTGTTGGGGCTGACAGGTTGGGATCACCCTCAACAAATGGCCTTCCAGTCTCCATCTAGCTCAGGTTGCTCTCTACCCAATGTTGATCTGCCAGTGCTAGAACTGCCTGACGTGTTCATAACACTCCATAGACTCACAGACAGACCCGAGTCTTGCTTCCCTCGGTTCTCCTGGGCTTACAGCTCATACCCACAATGCACTATGGCAGGCCTTGCTGCCCATCACTGTTCATATGGCTTCTGTGCCCCAATGCAGAAGTCATTTACAGCCCCACCATGTTAGCCTGCTGCCTGTGGGTGCCCGGGATCAGTAGACAGGCTTTCCTTCCTGGCGCAGGTGCTAGTGGGCACATTCCCCAGAAAGTTGCTGTGTTTGTGGAGCATGGGGGTGTTTTTGCTTTGACAGATCAGCAGCCACTTTGGCATGGGTCTTTCTTGTTCTTGGTTCTGTCTGTAAGTCTCTTGAGAACATATCTGGAGAGGATGTGGGAGGCCTGGCTTGGATTTTCTGGTTATAAGCGGCAAGGGCCTCATCCCATTGGGCTGAGTGACATGCCTGATATCTAGGAGCTGACCAACAGAGATGTTCTTCTTTCTAGTCTGGTAGGACAGCTCTTCAGATTGGGGACAGCCTGAACACAGAGAAGGCCACGCTGATCGTAGTCCACACAGACGGGAGCATCGTGGAGACAACTGGGCTGAAGGGCCCCGCAGCCCCGCTCACCCCAGGTACCGAGCCCTCCGCAGCTGATTTGAGTTTTTCTGTTGTTTTTTTGTTTGTCAGCTGTGGGGCTTAAACTGAGGGCCTGGGCACTGTCCCTGCGCTCTTTTGCTCAAGCCTAGCACTGCCACTTTGAGCCACATCTCCACTTTTAGTTTTCTAAAGGTGGTTAATTGGGGATAAGAGTCTCATGGAGGGGCTGGGAAGGTGGCTCAGAGGTAGAGTGCTTGCTTTGCATGCATGAGGTCCTGGGCTCGATTCCTCAGCACCACATAAACAGAAAAAGCTGGAAGTGGCACTGAAGAGCTGAGGGACAGCGCCCAGGCCCTGAGTTCAGGCCCCATGACTGACCAAAAAATAAAAAAAGTCTTATGGACTTTCTTGCCTGGGCTGTCTTTGAATGTGATCCTCAGATGTCAGCCTCCTGAGTAGCTAGGATGACAGGTGTGAGCCACCAGCACCTGGCTGCTTATTTGTTTTTTGTAGTAAGTTTGGAAACCAAATATTGACTTAGGGAGCCCGGCAGGAGTTCTCTGGGCAGAGAGAGCGTTGCCCGCAGGGAAGGGGTGGTGCTGTTGTACTAAACCATCTGTGTACCCGCAGGAAAGGAGGGCAGATGTGAGCTGGCATCCTGTCTGCCCGGGTGACAGGGGCCTCACGGCCTCTCTTTGTGCAGGTCCTCAGTCTCCTCCGACCCCGTTGGCACCAGGCCAGGAGAAGGGTGGCACCAAGTACAACTGGGACCCTTCGGTGTACGGCAGTGAGCTGCCTGTGCGCTGCCGGAACATCAGCGGCACGCTCTACAAGAGCAGGCTCGGCTCAGGTGAGGCCGCCGCCCAGGAAACCTAAACGCACTGAGGAGAGGGAACGGCGCGAGACCTCCAGCCTCCATGGTTGAAACCCAGCCCATCGAAGGCCTTGGCCGCGGCGGGGGGCCTGGGGGTGAATTCTGGGTCATGGTGGCTCTGGGAGAGAGAGAAAGTAGGAGAAAGGTAGCATGGGGCATGTTTCCCACGGGGCTCGCACAGGGATTATGGGGAGTGGACAGCCGCGGGCCGTGACGAGCTGGTGCTGACTGGACGTGGCTGGGAGGCCACCCCAGGTGCTTCTGGGGTGACCTTGGTGTCAGTGAGATTAGCAGTCAGGTAGGACGGGGGCAGCCAGGAGGGCAGTGGAGAAGGAGACACGGTGGAGGAAGGGCTGGTGGCGGCCAGCTCTCAGCTGTGAGGAGGCGTAATGACAGGGTCACTTCTGTTTCAGGCGGCCGCGGCCGATGCATCAAGCAGGGGGAGAACTGGTACAGCCCCACGGAGTTCGAGGCCATGGCAGGAAGAGCCAGCAGCAAAGACTGGAAGAGGAGTATCCGCTACGCGGGCAGACCTCTCCAGTGCCTCATCCAGGTACGGCCAGGTGCGGCCCTGCAGCCGCATGACTGCAGAGCCACCCGGACCCTCCAGGGGGAGGCGCGCTGGCTCAGGCAAGGTCCATGTGGCCATGGGTGCATTACTGGCTTTCCAGGAGATGTGGTGCGGGTAACCCCAGAGGGTTGCTGAGGGGGTACATCATGAGGCCCAGGAAAAGGAAATGCTGGACACAGAAGAGAGGCAGCAAAGCCAGGGCATCTGTCTGTGACTGTGTAAGATGCTTGTCTTCTCTGCCCTACTTTACTCCTAAGAAAGGGGACACGTTTGTGTTTTTTTAAATTGATATAATAAAGGTGATGCAGAGTTACAGTTACATAAATCAGGTAAAGGGTACATTTCTCTTTGGATTGTGACACCCCTTCCCTCATTAACTCCCAGTCTTTTCCTCTTATCTCTACCCACAAATTGTATAGTGTATTTGCTTTGTTTGTTTGTTTTTGTTTTTTGGTCGGTCGTGGGGCTTGAACTCTGGGCCTGGGTGCTTTCCCTCAGCTCTTCAGCTCAAGGTGAGCGCTCTACCACTTGAGCCACAGCACCACTTCCAGTTTTCTGAGTGGTTTATTGGAGATAAGAGTCTCACAGACTGGCTGGGAAGGTGGCTCAGTGGTAGAGTGCTTGCCTTGCATGCATGAGGCCCTGGGTTCAATTCCTCAGCACCACATAAGCAAAAAGAAAAAAGCCA